CTTCTATCCGTATTAGACAGAACTGTTAACGACGACGGCGAACAAGAGGGAGAATGTGAGCGGTGTGCGCTCAGGCACTGCCGCTCTCAGCGCCGTAAAAATAAAAGTCCTGCATCGAACGCATCGGCAAAACAGAAAAACTTATCGGCCGATGCCGATATTTGAAAAATGCCAAATATCGGCCGATATATCGGTCGACCACTAATCAGAAGGTATCTTGTTTTAACCGTGGAAAGACGTCAATCAATACACACCATTTTTCAAGTTCAAGTCCACCGACGTTAACCTACTCTCCTGTTTGGTTTGTTTGTCAAACAAAATGGCAGATTCTGCGTTATGATTGGTCAGATCACCTGTCAATCAAACTCCCGGCAAAGGGTCAATTACAGATTTAGATGCTGATGACTGAGTTAATCCCTGATTTTTAGGGTCACTGAGATGAAGCCCCCGTTAATAGGGTTTAGAATGTGTTCAGCCAATTATGGATGTATGACGAAATGTTGCCAGTTTTCTTTTTCTGGTTGAATCTACACAGATGTTACAATTTGCATGCTTTTGATGTGGAAGTATCAAGCCTCACCTTATAAACCACAGGTGAAAACCACGCTGGCATGAACACCAGATTGCACAGCCTCGCAGTCGGGCACTGTTGATCAAAGCTCACCAACAACGACACATCCCCCAGCTTGCCCATTCCTACAATCTCCACAGGCACCTTGAGGGACACCTCCACCTGTTCCTCATACACACCCGCGTGGAGCACCACCTTATCGTATGGCCCTGCCGCAGCCAATGCTCCTCTGAGAGTCTCATAGCCGCCTCCTGCAACGGTCCCAACATGCCAAACCCTGCGGTCTTTCCTCCGGCGGAAAAGATGGAGGCAGGCAGACGAGTGGAGGTCTGAGCCGTTCTGGGTCCAGGTACGGCTGGCAAGAGCATGCTGACGGAGAGCCTCTCTCCAGGAGACCGGGGGCAGGTGGGGGCGACGAGGCCAATTTGGGTGGCGACATTCAGGGCATCCTAGACAGAGCTGGCGCCAACGTGTGCTGTCCAAACTCAAAATGAGTTCCCGCCAGGCTCTGCACACCAGACAGCATCGACCTAGATCTGGCAGAGGCAGGTATGCCAGAATGAGGCGCCAAAGCTCGACAGGCAGACTTCCCACCTCCATATCTGTCAGCACCACGCCACCTCACCTGGGCAGATCACCTAAGTGTAAACAGAGAAAAAGTATTTGTTAAATAAAATTATAAATATCATTATAACAATTTTTTTTTCTCAAGAACATTTGATTGGACTAGAATGTGTTTAGTGCATGATAAGTCATCAGTATTTTGGCCTGTTTTCCCAGAAGAAAAAGACTGTAATTTTAAATGCATATACACTACCATTTTGGGTAGTGTATATCCAAAAATTTGGGCTCGATAAGATTTTTATTAATGTTTTTGAAAAAAATCTCCTATGCTCATCAAGGCAGTAAAAAGAATACTGGGAAATATTATTATAATTTAAATTTTTTTTAATGTAATTTATTCCTGTGATCCAAAGCTGAATTTTCCGCAGGCATTTCTCCAGTCTTCAGTGTCACATCATCCTTAAATAATCAGCCTAATATGTTGATTTGGTGCTCAAGAAACATTTCTTATTATTATCAATTTTGAAAACAGTTGTGCTGCTTAACCCCTTAGCATTCCTGTAAAATTGGCCTAAAACGCCTAAAAAAGGCATACCCAAAGTAAATTGCATGCTGTTCTTGAACCATTTGGAGTATATGCATGGTTTTGGTCTCTTTTGAAAGGTGACACTCTGAGGTTTGTTAGGTCTTCATAATATGGGGAAAGGTCAATTTTATAAATATATATATATATATATATACACAGTGTTGGGGAAAGTTACTTTTAAAAGTAATGCATTACAATATTGCGTTACTCCCTAAAAAAAGTAACTAATTACGTTACTTAGTTACTTTTTATGGAAAGTAATGCGTTA